CCGCCCTGTGCAGTGGATTATGATGCTGGGAGTGATGTCTGTAACGCATCTGCCTGGTGCCTGGCAAGTAGCTGGCATCTTATAATTGGGAGTTATCGTTATTAAGGGCCGCTGCTCGGATTGAAGGGACAAGAAAGGTAAATCAAAGCGTCTCTGTTCTCCAGGGGCTCCCAGGAGAGTGGGAGAGACAGAAACGCACACATGAGTAACTTTTAATCCAAGGCAGGCTGGGAGAAGTGCTCTAACCAGAAGCCCAAACAATGTGGGAAGAATGGGGGAGGGAGCTCTGACAAGTCTAGCCCAGGAGCTTTGAGTTGGGTTGGGGGGGGCAGGGAGGGAGGGGCGCGGGGAAGAGGGTGGGAATGGGGGTTTCTGCCGCTCTGACCCCTCCTCCAATTGTGCGAGAAGCACAGAGCGCCCCCCCAGGACCCTCCTCATTTCTCCCCAGGGTCCCTCCGTGTTCCCCTTGCCCTCTTAACACTGTCCTCTTAAAATAAGGGCACTTGAACACAGAGATCATATATGATGTATTTTCTGCTGTTCACCTGCCCCCAAACCCTGGCTGAGCCTCCCGGGAGTCTCCTGTCCCGTGGCCCCCTGGAAGTGGGGGGGCACCAGGAGTCTGGGACCCCGGCCTCACTGCATGAGTCTAAAGGGGAGACGTGCACCACACATGGGGGTCCTGGCCCCATGGCCACGCTGGGTCCCCGCCCCCGCCCTCCCCCTCTCCCCCTCTCCCCCTCTCCCCCTCCATCTCAGGACCTCGGCCTCCCTTCTCCTCTGCCTTGGCCTGTGGCACTCAGGGTCTTTGCGTCAGCGGGTGCTGCCTGCTGTCTTTCCCTCTGGATGCCCGTCCTGGGCCTGCCTCTCCTGGGCTCCTCCTCACCAAGATCCGCCTTGCCTGGTGCTTCTCCTCCAGTCTCCTCCGTGTCCCTGGCTCTCCCTGGCCTCCGGGGGGGGTGTCTGGCTCTGTGCCCCGCCCCCCGACAGCCTCCCCTTAGGCTGTGTGGCCCTGTGCCTGTGGCCGCGTGTCCTTCCCCGCCTGTCTTCATGATGGTTGCTAAGGCTTCCCCCGCACCTGAGACTGCATCGGAGGACAGGGAGGCCACGGATCAAAGCCTGCAGGAATTCATTTCAGAGCCCACCCGCAGATTCGCGCCGGCCCCAGGCTGGAGCTGCCGGGCAGGGCGGGCGAGGCTGGACTATGGTCGGGGTCTGTCTGAGGTCAGGCTCTCCCGAGTCCCCTCCCGCCGCCGTGAGCCATGCCCCTGCATTTCTGTTCCACGCTGGCTTTATTTCCTGCGAGCGGGGCGTGGGCCCAGGCGGGACTGCAGTCTGCCCCCGCCCCTCCCCAGCTGCAGCGCGGGCTGGGCTCTGCTCGACCACAGCTGGTGGAGGCCTGGGCCCCCAGGGCCTCGAAGGCGTATGTGTGTGTGTCCTTGATAGGCCACCGGGACTGGCTCTTGGTGCCTTTGTGACACGCGGGGGCATCCCCAGTACCTCCTTCTTTGTCATAACGCCACCAGGACGCATCTGCCCTTGCTGTGGTGCCTTGTCCAGTGTCTGTCCCTCACTGCTCACTTTCTAGGCTTCCCCTCAGCAATCCCGTCATTGCATCAGAACCTTGGGTCCTGCCTCCTTACCCCTCCCGGCTCTACTCCACACTCCCTCCTCCAGGGAGCCTCTCAGGACTGACTCCGCCCTGCCCAGCGCTGTTCTTGTGTCTCTGCAGGGAGAACCTAGCCTGTCCCTCCACGACCCTGCCCTGTCTGTGCGTCCGCGGGAACCTGGGAGCCTGACCGGGGCAGGCGTGCTCTGCCCTCTGCCTCCTTTCCTTGACTGGGGGACGGCGGGGGTGGGGTCACACGGCAGGGTCTCTCACTGCTTCAGAACACCTGCCGTGGGCCTGGCAGCCAGGCCCCACACTGCGTGAGGGGCCAGAGCTCTGAGGGACACAGCCTGGACTCTAGTCTCCTGGGCTCGGGGCAGGGACGGGCAGTGCCGCGGGGGCCGTATGAGAGTTAAAGGGGCTCTCAGGGCTCATGGGAAGTCCAGGAAGACTTCCCAGAGGAAGTAACTCTTCGAATCCCAAGGGAGTGGGGGCAACAGTGTCTCCCCACCGGCCCCCCACCCCCGGAACTGGTTGTGCAAGGCCCTGGAAGGGGGACAGAAGCCTGGGGTGTGCAGAGGGGAGGGAGGCCTGTCTCAGGCACTGTCTTGACTGCAGGGGCTGTGGCGGGGGGGGCGGGAAGACTTGCTTGTGATTTTTGCGGGGTCAGGATCTAGGGGCCTTCCCATCGAGTACGATTCCCGAGACCTCTCTGGACTCTTCAGTCATTGCTCCCACCCCCCCCGCCCCCCCGTCTCCCGACTAAACTCCCAAATCCCCACGTCATCTTGATGGCTACTGCCTTCTCTGTCATGTCCTTGCTCGGGTTTCCAGGGGCGCCTCTAACTATCTAGCTGCCCGGGACAAATAAGGGCCGTAGCTGCCAGTTAGTGGGCACAGGCAAGGGTTTGTACCAGGCCTGTCACACCCCTCCTCCCGTTAACCTCCAGGGAACCTGGGAGATGGGCATTGTCACACCCCGGAGTACCAATGAGGAAGTGAGACTCCGAGAGGGACTTGGCCAAGGTCACGGTTAGGAAGTGGCAGAGGCATTATGCAAACCTATGTCTGCCTCGTACACCTGTGCTGCTGAAAGGGTCCCTGTGGTCCTTGTGCGGACCTGTCATGTACAGTCGAGCCGGGCTGGGGGGGCCACAGCGCTCCTCCCTCCTGCCCCCTCCCCATCTCCGACTCTGACCACGAGGGCTCCCCCCATCCTGCCCACTCGCTCCCCGTGGACAAAGAGCAGCTTCTTAGCGTTTGCTGGAGGCTTCGCCGGGAGAACAGGGTGTCCGGGTCCCATTTCCACGCTCAGGAAAGCCGTGAATACAAGTCCCATCTCTGGGCCGGGGTAACGGGCCACCCCACTCCCAAGCCCTTGACTTGGGCTCCAGGGCTGTGGGAAGGACAAACGTGCGTGTGGGGAGCTTGCAGCATGGAGCTGCCCTGGAGAATGCGCAAGGATATGAATAAATTTGAATAATAATGAGGGCAATGCCTGAATTAATAATGCTGGCTGCTCACCTGACCCACCCCTCCCCCAGGATCTCGGCACCTGCCGCTGGAGTCCCGGGAAATGTGGGTGAACCTCATCCTTGGCTTCCCTGGGAGCCACAGACGGCGGTCAAGTCAGAAGAGTTGGGAGCAGCCCAACAGCTGCCCGGTCGCTAACTTCCTGGATTTGTACAGTTAACCGAGAGGGAAGAGGCTGCCTCATGCATCAAATCATACGCTGGCCGTCATTCCCAGCCCTGCCCCCTCTCTCTCGGTCCCCTTTGTGTGCAGCAGACAACGTGGACGTCAGATGTCCGGGGAGACTCAGAGGGAGGAGATCGCACGGCCCTTGGCTTTAGAGGAGAAGCTCCTCTTCTGGTAGAACGGACAAGGCGAACACCTCCACCCACCCGCTGCGTTCTACCCCATGATAAAAACATGGGCATAAACTCTTAGAGTCTGGGACAGGAAATGCATGGATGGAGCTGTGTCTGGGAGATGGGACAAGCTGTGTCTGTCCGAGGAGCTAAAGGATCAATCCAGGAGGGCTTCCTGGAAGAAGGGAATGTGGGGCTAGTTTGGAAAGAAGGGGAGACATGGAGCGGGAGGAGGAGACAGAAGGGAGGGGACAAGACCTGGGGCCTGTCGCTGGTGGCTTAGAGGGAGGTCTCAGAAGAGGGGGTCAAGTTCCCTCTGCTTACACACTGGAGCGATGGAGCATCAGAGACATTGTGGAAAGGGTTGGATTTGGGGGTTGTGGTCTCTGCAGAGACGTGGGAGCTGGAGAGGGAAAGAGGAGGGAGGAGTCCCCCGAGCTGTGGGCAAAGCTGATTTCGGTCACAGCGGTGTGACAGATTGGGGACAAAGCTAGGAAGCCCCAGACCTCTCCTTTTGCCACCTCCCCCCTTCCCACAGCCTGCCCCACCCGCGGGACCAGTGCTGGCTCGCCCGGGGTGGGGGCCGGGGGTTGGGGCAGCCACAGTCCAATTCCCTGCTCCATTTAGGCTCCACAATTAAAGGCAATTACTCTGCAGCTTCTCTCATCAAACGCTCCCGGCCGGGCTGCCAGCCGGGCTGCCATGTGTGGCTCCGCAGCCGGAGGGAGGGACGAGCAAAGTCACACGCACGCCTGGCTCCCACCGCGCGGGCGGCGGGGCGCGGGTTGGTGTGTCTGTGTGTGCGCACGCCTGCCCTGGAGCTCCGGGGCAACGGGCAGACGCGCAGGACGTGGCGGGTGTGCCAAGAAGTGGGCTCCGAGGTTTGCTGGTGGCACTCGGAGCCCCGGGAAGCCGGGGTTCACCCATATGAGGTGCCTGCCCAGGGAATCTGCCCTGTGTGCCCACTGGGCACATCGTGGGGGGCTGTCCCTGCGTGGCAGCCCACGTGTGCTACCTTGTGGCTACTCGCGTGACACGTGCGGGCAGGGGTGCAGTGGCGTATTCATGGCAGTGGTGGTGCACGACCAGCAGCTTTGGTCATGGATGCAGCACCTGGGAACAGGGGTGGGGGTGAGGCGGCGGGTGGCGGAACAGGACCGGGGCCTGGAGGGCCGAGGCTCAGGCTCTGAATCCGCATCCTGCCCCTCACTCACGCTCACCCCCCTGGGCCTCGGTGTCCTGTCCGTGGCACGAGAGGGTGGCACGAGCCCCATCTCAAGCCTTTATATAACACTGCGCCACTCTCTCTGATTGCTGAGCGCCTCCACTCCTGAAACCCGTTCCCCTGGGCCAGGGGGGAGGAAGAAATCCAGGGTGGGCACGTGGCATCTTGGCGGGAAGGGGCTGGGCTGAAGTGGGGCAGGGACGGGAGGGCGGGGTGGGGGCCTGGGAGGGTGGCCCCTTGGTGGAGCCCCTTCCCTCCCACACGTCCTTACCCAGTGCCGGCTTGGCTTTGCCAGGGACCCAGACCCGCTTCAGCCAGGAGCCGGCCGACCAGACTGTGGTGGCAGGACAGCGGGCCGTGCTCCCCTGCGTGCTGCTCAACTACTCGGGCATCGTGCAATGGACCAAGGATGGGCTGGCGCTGGGCATGGGCCAGGGCCTCAAAGGTGAGTGGGCTGCCCGCCGGCCTGGCATCCAGACTGTCCTGCCTTTATGCACCGGCTCCCGGCCCGTCGCCTTCACCTAGCTCCTCACCGCACTCCCTCTCCGTGCTCCAGCCTCCCCTCTCCCATTTGAGTGTGGGCAGCCTCGCCCTCTCCTCCTGAGCTCCAGACTCCCTCCTGCCCCAGCCCAGGCCATGTCTGTTCCGGGGCCAAAAACCCCTTGTAACATCAGCCTGGGCACTTACGCACGTGTTCATCCAAGAAGCCTGTATCAGGCGCTGTGCAGCCCATGCTGAAGCTACCTAGCGATTCAGTGAAACAGGACGAACAAACGATCTCCTATATTCCAGAACAAGTAAAGGTACTTTTGGGAAGGCCTCCTGGCCGTGGCTGAGGGGGAAGGCCCCCAGGTTCTTGTGCTGCCTCTGCCACCTGTGAGCGGGGCGACTTCGGAAAGCCGCCGCACCTCTCTGGGTCTCCGTCTACCACCGTGTAGGAGAGCTATGGTCGTCACGGGCCTGTGCACGGCTTTCGTGAGTTTTGAACCAAATGAGAGGTGGTGTTTTGTGAAAAGCCACGGCTGGCCTGAAAGCAGTGTAATGCCAAAAGCCCAGGAGGGGCTGTATATTTTTATTCTTTCTGTTGTCCGGGGCTTAAAATTATTTGCTGTGGGTTCTGCATATTAGTACAGATAGGGGAAATTTGTCTGTGTAGAGGAAAGAGATGGGCTAGTGGATCTGTTGATGACAGAAAGAAAGAGAAACTGGGAGAGAGAGATCAATAGATATGGAGTGAGAAGGATCGATAACCCCTGGACAGAGGGAGATAGTGGGAGGGAGCCGGTGGGGAGCCCGGGAGAGGGGGACAGGGGAGGGGGTGTGAGCCTGCAGGGGAGGGCAGGGGAGGCTGAGCCAGAGGGGGCCAGAGGCTCAGAGGCCCACCTGCCACAGCCGTGGCTTCTCCAGGGACTGTGTGGGTCAGAGGCTCCTTCAGGGGCAGGACCTGCCTCATCCGTCCCCCGCATCACGAGTGCCGGCGAGGCCGTGGCCTTCCGTGGCTCCCCCCGGGCCCCAGGGGAACTCCGTCTGTTCTGCGATGCCCTATATTTCCAGCGCCCTCATGCCCTCCCCCTCTCCTTTTCTCTTGGCTTTTTTCCTCTTCCTTTCCTATTATCACGAGAGACGTTTGTCTGCAAACAGCTCCAGAGATTTCTGCTCCTCTCCCCCTTCCGTCTCCCTGTCGCCCCTGCTCCAGGGCGCCCAGCCTCACTGCAGGAGGTTGTGACATCGGGGTGTCACACCTGGGACTGCGGACGGAGTCCCAGGCCAGGGTGCAGGGGGAGGAGAGGTGGCCTGGGCGGGGTGCAGGCCCCGCCGCGGGGCATGGGGATGCGACCTGGGGGGAGAGAGAACCCTGGCGGGCAGGCCGGTTCCCAGGCCGGGGCGGGGCTCACCTCGCTCGCCCTTTGTGTCCCTGCAGCCTGGCCGCGGTACCGGGTCGTGGGCTCTGCGGAGGCCGGGCAGTACAACCTGGAGATCACGGACGCCGAGCTGTCTGATGACGCCTCCTACGAGTGCCAGGCCACGGAGGCCGCCCTGCGCTCGCGGCGGGCCAAGCTCACCGTGCTCAGTAATGCCCCAGCCCCTGCTGTCACCCCTTCCCTCCTGTCCCCTGGACTCCTCACTTCTTCCTGGCCTCAGGCCCGTCCCCACGACCCCCCAGATCCTTCTCTAAACTTCTTCCGGAGCCGAGTCCAATAGAAGAGGGTGAAGCGGGCCCGTGGGCCCCCCTGGTGGGACCACGGAGGCATGAGGCCTGGCATCCTCTGTGCCCAGCTGGATTGGGCTCTGCCTGCAGGACACGAGGCTCCCCCAGGGCAGAGGAGTTGGGGTGCTGGAGATGCATCCACTCCTGGCCCAGGCTTGTCAGTGAGGGAGCTTCTCCCGTCCTCCCGCTCTGCTGCCCCAGCCCGAGCAGCTGCCCTGGCGGCTCCTTCCCCTCCTCACTCAGCCCCCACCGCCCTTCACCACTCCCCCCCCCTGCCCCCCCCCCGGGCACTGAGGCTGCCCCGGAGGCCCTTCTGGGAGCCAAGGAGCAACACCAGAAGGAACAAGACCCGAGGGCTGAGAACTGGGGCGGTGGGCTGGGCCCTGATGGCGCCGAGCAGCTGTCCCTCTGTGAGAACACCGGGGCCGTTTGCGGAACGAGAAGACTGGCCCCTGCGGGAGCTCCCTCCAGCCTGGCGCCCTCCTGGCCTTGGCCTCTGCTCTGCTTCCTTCTGCCCATGACCCCCTCTTCCTTTTGCCCATGCTGTCCTGTTCCTTTCTCCTGCCTTCATTTGATCTGTCCCCCTCTCTCTTTTCCATCCCTTTGCCTGAAATCTGTGACCTGGGAAAGCCCCTGGAAGGGATGGGGGGAGAGGAGCGGAGACCGGGAGCTCGGACACAGGAAGGTTTTACCCGGGGGGAGGGTGGGAGTGAGAAGGTGACAGGACGTCATCCTTGTGTCAGGGAAAGGCTGGACTGGGAGCTGGGAGTCAGGAGCCCTGGGCCATTTTGGCACTGTGACCCTGAAGAGGTCACGACCCCCGGGTATCAGTTTGCTCATCCATAAGTTGGTATCAGCCTTTTCTCAGCCACTTTGCCACTCCTGCCCAGGGAGCTGTGAACCGCGAGAGCTTGGGCAGTGAGGTGTCAGGGCGTCAAGGCCCTGCAGGGCTAGGACTCTAGTCTGTCTGGTGAGCAAGGCACAGGACTGAGGTTAGGGAGAGAGAGTCAGGTGGCCACCAGGGATGGGCATGGGGCGCCATGACCGCACCTCCCGTCCCTCTTGGGGTGTGTGTGAGCCCACGCCAGCCCGGGCCATCTAAGGGAGTCACGAGATTCTGGGGAGTCTGTCTGTCTTCTTTTCCCTCGTTAATTGCCTTGGTTGTGGGTCCTGGAGTACTGCTTCTGACCTGGAGGACTCCCATCCTAACAAGGAGCCTCTGGTACTCCCTCCCCTCTCCCGCCCCAGACCTCCAGAGACAGAGAAATAAAGATGGAAAAAAAAAAAAAAAGCCAGCTAAACCCCTAGGTATTGCAGGAATGGGGCTTCTAATGGCATCCAGTGGCTTGGTTCATTCAAGGAAGGCTTCCTGGAAGAGGAGAATATCAACAGGGACCCTAGATGGAGGAGTACCTTGTTTAAAAGCTTGCAAGCCACCGAGGGAGAGCCCATAGTGGGTGGCTCATTTGGAAGGCACAGTCCGTGTGCAGTGTGTGGGCCTTCCCAGCCTATCTGGGGGATTTGGGGGGCAGGAGAGGCAGGGACAGGCCCCAAGAGGAAGAGGTGAGAGGTTCGTGCTTGCTCATCTCTCTCTCAGACCCCCTGCCACCTGCAGCCGCATGTAGGCTAAGAAGACAGGCTATGTCTCGCACGCTCCCTGCTTACCCAGTTACGCACTCCTTTGCTCACGGCGCTGGAGCCTGGAGATTGGGCAGGGCAGAGTCGAGAGTGGGTTGCGTCCGTGCCCGGTAGACCCCTCATCTGCAGCCACAGCCCTTGGTGGTCTCCCCGCCCCCACCCCAGGCCAGGCTTCCTCACGCAGCAGCCTTTCCTTCTCCCTGTGGCGGACTGAGTGGCGGCCTTCCACTCAACTACAGATGCAGATGCAGACGCGGCGTCCACTTGCAGGCCTACAGCCCCCTCCAAGCGCCGGGGGGAGGGGCATGGCTCCAGGGCCGGTGGGCCTGGTCCCCCCCCAGCCCTGCTACTTAACTCACTCTCCTGCCTCCGAGCACATTTCTTAATCTCTCTGAGCCTCAGGGACCTTGTCTGCCAATTGGGGCCCATGGTATTTACCATGAAAGGGTTAATGAAGTACACTTTGTGGTGAGCTTCAAATGTGCGTGGTACTTGGGCCCTTTGGTCAGCATTCCATGAACGGCAGAAACACTGGATCACATCACAGCTTAGCGGCTGCATGTCTGGGATCTCATTTCGACTTCACAGCATCACCTCTGGGGAAGAGCTGTCAATGTTATTTTTAAAATTTTACAAACAAGGAAACTGAGGCCACAGACACATGTGCATATTGAGATACAGATTTGTCACAAATCATAAAAATTTGTTCATAAACAAGCATCCACATGAACACGCACCCTCTGATAGCGGAGCAGACACTTCAATGGCCTTATTCTCCTTTGCCCCAGAAACAGAGAGAAAGATGGGTTAGCGACAGAGGTGACAGATGGACGGTCTTGCCCGAACGAGGGGAAAGGGCCAGCGTTCTAGGGAAGGAGAGCCGATGGGAGGAGAAGGCTTCCCTCTGACCCAGGACACGGTGTCCCCTGCAGATGGGCAGGACTTCTGCCCATCCAGGATGTCCTTCCTGGGTGAGACAGCGGGTGTGACCTCGGAGGGGCCCACACAGACCAGGAGACCCTGAGCACCATCTGACAGGGGGACCAGGTAGAGCAGCAAGCAAAGCGGAGGAGCTGGGGACTCGGTGGCTAATCTGTTGGCCAGGAGCTGGGAGCACTGCTGGCTCTCGTCCGAGCAGCTGAGCGAACACAGCCCGGGTGTCACATGGGCCTGCACACTGTAGTCCATACCCAGCACCCCCGCTGACCTTCACGAGGGCCCCCTGGTTAGGCCCAACTACGTCCCTGTTGAAGAAACAGACTCTGACCTGAGGGCCTCACCCAAGATCACACAACAGGTAAACAGACGTGCGGGGGTTTAAAATCAGTGCAGCCTGCTTGGAAACTGCCCCTCTGTGTGCACGAGTTGAGTGGAACACAGACGGGCTGCAGGTGTTTCCCTTCCAGTGGAAATGGCAGCTCAGGACCGGCATTTCCCACACTCTGGGGCAGCCCGGCGCACTGCGAGGCTCCGTGGGCCTCCCACGTCTGCTCTCAGGGTTGTCTCACAGAACCCCCTCCGGGTCTTCCCAGAGGCAAACAGAGCCCTTTCTCATTGCTGGCCTGATGACTATGGGGTGCACCAGAACGATGATAATCAATCCTGCCTCTGTCTCTTCAATCCCTCGTTCATTCATTCAGTCAGTATCCCCGAGGACCTGCTGTCAACCCAGCTCAGCTAGACCTCGGGCTTTCAGAGAAAGAAGCAGCCTTACCTTCAAGGAGCTGTAATCTGATCGCCTGAGCTTTTAGGAGCCGTGAGGATAGGACAGGGAGAGACCTCCTATTTCTTGGCATCAGGAATCTGACCCATTCAGTCCCTCAAGAGGGCAGCAGGAGCCTACGGTGACCACCTCTGGGCCCTGGAGACAGTAGAAATCCAGGGAGCCGGGGACAGCGGCCTTGGCTGGGAAGGGGGCCCGGGCAGTCATCCCGAGGGACCCCAACACAAGGTCGGTTAGGAGCTCAGAGCACCTGCGTGGGAGCCCCTGCTGGGCCGGCTGTGGTGGGAGGGCCTGTGCAGCAGGCCGGGGAAGGGACAGCGGAGGTGAAGATGCGAGAAAGTGCAGGGCTGGCTGAGGGGGGGGCGGCCCTGGGCCGCAGGCTGAGAGGCTTGTGGCGCTTTGTAGCCCTCAGAGGTGTCTGAGCGGGGTGGTGGCACAGTCTTGGCTGCGCTGGAGAAAATAACCAACCTGCCCGCGGTGATGGATGTGCCGGCCAGGGGCACTGGAGGCAGGGAGTCCGTTTGGGAAGCGGCTGTAGTGGGCCGGCTCCCCGGGCTGGCCCAGGGCACAGGGGCACACAGGACGGAATAGAGGAGGACCCTCCTCCCGAGCCAGGCCCCCGGGTGTGAGCGGCACTCCAGTCCTGGAGACCCCGGCTCTTGCCCGTTTGCGGCCACGCCCCCTCACCCGCCAGCCGGGCTGGGAAAGAACCAGGTGGGGGGCGGGGGGCTGTGCTGGTGGCCTGGGGTGAAGCTCCCCCAGGAGCAACAGCTACAGTGATTGCAAGTTAAGGTGGCCACAGCCCTCCACGGGGCGGCCGTGCTGCGGGAGGAACGCCGCCAGGGGCAGGGGCTGTGGTCGCCAGGGCGGAGCTGGCCGCACCCTGACTGAGGCTCTGCTCGCCCTGCAGTCCCCCCAGAGGACACCAGGATTGACGGCGGCCCTGTGATCCTGCTGCAAGCAGGCACCCCCCACAACCTCACATGCCGAGCTTTCAACGCCAAGCCGGCCGCCACCATCGTCTGGTTCCGGGACGGGACACAGCAGGAGGGCGCTGTGACCAGCACGGTGAGGCCTTGCCCCCCGCCGACCCCTCGGCCCCATCCCAGGTCACCTCCCATTCCCACGTGGGCCTGACCCAGACTCGGGGGACACAGATGTGACAGGAGAGCTTGTAGGTCGTCTGGTCCAAGCCTCTCATCCATCGTGTAGCTGGGAAGTCTGGGATCCAGAGAAGAGGAGGGAGCTCCCGGGCTCACAGCGCATTCGGTGGCTAGCAGGGACTAAGAATAATGCTGACACCAGCTACGTTAAGCACCTACTGTGTGCCGGGCACTGTGCATGCTAAGCTCCTCATGGACAGTCCCTCTTAATTGTCAAGGGAGTTTGGTAAGTCAGGCGTTCCTTCCAACTCAACAAAGAGGGACACCGACGGTCAGAAAGGTTGATGCCTTGCACAGGGTCACATGGCTGGCGTGCAGCAGAGCTGGGGTTTGTGCCTGGCTCGGGCTGTGCTCCGTTGAGCACCTCAGGCTTCGTCCTTCAGCCTCTGGCTGGCTCAGTGAAGATGCTGAGGAGGCACGGCTCCTGTGTCGGTTGTATAGACGAGGAAGCTGTGACAGAGGAGTCATCCGGTGATGTTCTGGGCGGAGCTGGATTAGCATCCCCATCCCCGGTGTGGGCGAACACACAGGTGTACCCAGCCCTTCGCTAGGTGCCGGGGGAGACCTGCTCCCCTGTGTGCCTCGGAGAGCAGTGCCAGGCAGAACCCGATTAGCTCTGCCTTTGACAGGCTGTGTGACCTTGCACAGGTCCCTGCTCTCTGGCCTTAGTTTCCCCATTTGACCCAGGACAGTTTGGCCTCAGTGGTGCTTGACCTTCTACCACCAAGACATCTGTAATTTTTCTCCTGTAGGACTACACATTTTGAAATGTTTTGGCAACCAAACGAGCTGATTTGTTAATGGCCATTTGTTGTCCACGTTCCTGCTCGCGTTTTCTAACGACAGCAGATCGTGGCCAAGCAGCGGGGGGGAGCCGGCGGCCCTGCACGGCTCTGGCCCTGCTCCTGCCCAGCAGAGGGGTGCTGCTGTCAGAGGGCAGGGCCGCCCTCGGACAAGCAGTGTGGCTTCCCTTGCACAGCTAAAATATGGCAAACAGCTCACGGGTTCCTGCGACCACATTTCAGGGGCCTCAGGTTGGCCACCACTGAGCCAGTGAGACAGCCTGTGAGCCCTTCCTGCCCCCCAGGGGCTTACGGTCTGGCAGGAGAGCCCCCGCGCCCATGCGCTCACGCGCAGGGCCCACGGGGCGAGGCAGCGTGTGCCCGGAGCAGAGTGGGACAGACGGACCGGGGGGGTCACAACAGCAGTGCAGAAGAGAGGACTGGTGCTGCACTCACGGAATCCCAGGAAGGAGGCTCAGAACCACGGGGAATGGTAGCACACGCACTGTGGCTCCGGTGGGAACTGTGGACACGGGTCTGTCAGTTGTATGCATGGCCCTCGTGTGTCATGTTCATTAGCGGAAACTGGGGGGTCTGGGAGGAGGGTGGATGGGAACTCGCTGAATTTTCTGTTCAGTTTTTCTGTACACTTAAAACTTCTCTAAAAAATAAAGTCTATTAATTAGAAACCAAACCAAAGCAGACCTGGGGGAGGAGGCTGGGGCTGGGGGTGGGCTGGGGAGGGCTGCACTTCGGGTTAAATTTCACGTGCCCCTCCGGCGCAAGCCTGTCTCCGGGCCCGGTCATCCTGATCGCAGTGCAGGGGGCTTCTAGCTTGACCCCGTCCCCACTTGTCCCACCCCAGGAACTGCTGAAGGATGGGAAGAGGGAGACCACCATCAGCCAGTTGCTCATTAACCCCACAGACCTGGACATTGGGCGTGTCTTCACCTGCCGCAGCGTGAACGAGGCCACCCCGACTGGCAAGGAGACTTCCATCGAGCTCGACGTGCACCGTGAGCAGGGGGTCCGGCAGCGGAGCTGGGGGGAGGGGCGGGCTGAGGAAGGGAGTGTGGGGCGCCCTCGGAGACGCCCCGAATGCAGATCCCCCGGGGCCCCAGGGCAGATGCTCTTGGATCCCCTGGCTGGAGTACCCAGGGGCCGCAGACCCCGAGGGCTGGGAGAGGCACCAGCTGCGAGTCAGGCAACTCCAGCGTCTAATTCAGCCTGTAACTTTGGCTGCGACTTAATCTCTCTGAGCCTCAGTTCCCAATTCTGTATAGTGGAAGAAAATAAAATACAGGCCCACAATCTCTTCTCTGAAACTCCAAACTGAAACTGATTTGCTGGCAAAACGTGAACTAAGGTTCCCCACGGTCTCTTACTTAACCCATATGTCACTGTGAGCTGTTGCCCAGACCCTGCTGGGGGTCTTACATAGTAAATGGTCTGTGCACACCAGCACCTTTCTAAAATTTAAAAACTCCAAATTCTGAAATACATCTAATCCCATGGGGCTCAGAGGAGGGACTTGGGACCTGTTTCCGTCTGTTGGGGCTGTGGGAGCACCTAAACAAGAGAGCGCATTCGAGCAGCCAGCATGGAGCCTGCTACTCAGGGGATGCTCAGTACAGCCCCTCCACCCAGAAGAGGGAGGGGGCTGGGCAGGGGCTGGAGATGCCCCACCCCCATCCCTTTCAGTGAGCCACGCGAGGCCACGCTGACGCCTCGTGGCCACAGTGCACCATTACATCCTCTAATTGTCTCTCCTGCGGCAGCCTGGATCCCAGCCCCCTAGCCGGCCCCCGGGAGGCTCCGTGGGGTAAAAGGAAGGAAGATGGCTTCTCTATTGGAGCTGCTTCACTACAGACTCCAGTTTCCAGATCTCTGCACAGGGAGAGGGCTGGGTGTGTGTGTTAGGAAGAGAAAGAAACCTGAGGGACAGAAAAGACCCTTCCTGTCCCCTGCTTTGCAGACCCTCCCACGGTGACCCTGTCCATTGAGCCACAGACGGTACAGGAGGGGGAGCGCGTTGTCTTCACTTGCCAGGCCACAGCCAACCCCGAGATCCTGGGCTACAGGTGCAAGGGGTGGGGGCTGGGGGCACCCTGGAGTGGGGGGTGTCGGGGTGGGGGTCATGCTACTGGATGAGGGTGAGAGGGGTCCAAGCCCTGATCGCCGCCCTGTGTTGCCTTCGCCCCAGGTGGGCCAAGGGCGGCTTCTTGATTGAAGATGCCCACGAGAGTCGCTATGAGACAAATGTCGACTATTCCTTCTTCACGGAGCCTGTGTCCTGTGAGGTTCACAACAAAGTGGGGAGCACCAATGTCAGCACCTTAGTGAACGTTCACTGTGAGTGGCTGCAAGGGCAGGGGTGGATGGGGAGGGCAGGGACCTTTGAAGGGCCTGGGGTAGGGGTGGGGGGGACAGGGGACAGGTCGGAGGAGGTGGCAGGGCAGCAGAAGGAAGAGAGGATCGGCTGGAGCTGACCCCCGATGAGACTGAGTCCCTAGCAAGTGCTCTTTTCTACACAGTTGCCCCCCGGATCGTAGTTGACCCCAAACCCACGACCACAGATATTGGCTCTGATGTGACCCTCACCTGTGTCTGGGTGGGGAATCCCCCCCTCACCCTCACCTGGACCAAAAAGGATTCAAACATGGTAAGACGCCTGCTACCCATCTTGAGCACGGGGAGGAAGGAGTCGGTCACAGGTGGGAGAGCAGGGGTGGGGTGAGGCTGGCGCAGCATTACTTTTCAAGTCGAAGCTAGAGTGTTTTCAGGGTCTTGGGATTTGGAGGAGGCGGTCAGTGCTCGGGATCAAAACCCACTTGTCCCCGCAGAACAGCTGGCCGGTTCAGTGGTCATGGGAGGGACAGGGGGACCTATGTGTGGGGGAGGGGGGAGGGGTGGTTTCTGCAGATCCGGTGAATGATTCTACACAGGAGGGTGGGAGGGTTGAATTCTGCAGCTCTGCAGACACCTGCATTAGATAGTTCGGGCTGGAATTGCAGGAAGAGGGATTTCAGGGTGAAACTTCCTGCCTTGTTCGGCAGGGAAAGCTCTAGAACAGACCCTCAGAGAGGCTGCGTTCTCTGGGAGACCACTGCAGCCCCAGCTGCCCTCTCTGGCCTCAGCCCTTCTCAGCCCACTCTTGCAGAGACGGCAGGCCTCAGTGCGGCCCTGTTTAGAGTCAGGGGATGCACCTTTGCCCTTCTGGGAATTCACTTGTGGCTCTTCCTGCTTTCTTCCCGATGCCTCCGATGCGGGGCCCCACTCGGACCCAGGGGCCCAGGCCTCCTGGCTCCCCACCCGAGGCTGCTCTCTCTGCCCAGGTCCTGAGTAACAGCAACCAGCTGCTGTTGAAGTCAGTGACCCAGGCCGATGCGGGCACGTACACCTGCCGGGCCATCGTGCCTCGGATCGGTGTGGCCGAGAGGGAGGTGCCGCTTTACGTGAACGGTGAGTGGCCTTCGGGGCTGGGCCAGGGCGGGCAGGTGCTGTGATGTCCTGCCGGCCCTGACCGCGTCTTCTTGCTCACAGGGCCCCCCATTATCTCCAGCGAGGCGGTGCAGTACGCTGTCAGGGGTGACGGGGGCAAGGTGGAGTGTTTCATCGGGAGCACGCCGCCCCCAGACCGCATTGTGAGTGCCGCGACTGTCACAGGGTCTGAGGACAGCCAGCCACCTGGAGGCTGCGTCCCTCTGCCCTCGTCCCTGCTCACGTGCCACTTCCCCCTCTCTCATTTGTCTCGTGACCCTGAGCCAGTTACTGAGTGTTTCGATCCTCAGTTTTGTCATCCACAAAATGGGGGCAGTGTCCCTGCCCAATGGCCGCAGCAACAGGTGTGAGAGGCCGGGGCGCCCCGGCTGCTCGCTCTGCCTCATCTCCTTCCCTCTCCTCAGCCTCCCTCCACCCTGCCCCTGGGTTCCCTGGCCCTCTGCCCCCTTCTGTCTTCCTCCTCCTACCCGCTCCCCCTCCCCCCTCTGTTCTCCTATTCCCCACACCATGCGCCATTAATTCCTCCCATGACCATTAACCGTCAAACCCCTCATCACATTTAATGACCATTTGGCTAACTCCAGGGCTGCCCAGGGACACTTCATTACCACGGCCGCCTGGGCAGCCGGCGGCTTGGCTCCCAGGGGCTTGCTTTTCTTGCAGAGCTAGGAGGAGTGATCCCTGGAAAGGAGCCAGTGCTCAGGGAGGGGACAGGAAGGGGGTGTCCCGACCAGGAAGTCAGGGATGGAGGAGGCTGCGAGAGATCCTCCCTGTCCTAAGAGTCTGGGATGGGTCTCCAGAGCCCCCTGGGCGGGTTCGTGTGGGGCAGCTGCGGCTTGGCTACAAGTAAGGCTGAAGACTCTCAGACCACCAGAGCTGGGCAAACCCCAGGCATCCAACTCCAGCCTGGTCCTCTGCTTTTACAGATGAGGACACAGAGGCCCAGAGAAGGGAGGGGAGGCCACACAGGGGCTCAAGGGAGAGCCAGGCCCAAGGCCGCATGTTGACTCCCCATCCAGGACATCAGGGATGCCAAATATTGGTTCACTGGCTCAGCAGCACCTGCATCCATGGGATTATTAGAAAAATAGAGATTCCTGGACCTCTCCCCTGGAGTTGCATATTTAAGAGTTAAGCTCCAAGAATCTGCATTTTAAAGAATGTCCCTAAGCATGTCTGCATGTTCCTGGCATACATCTCCATTGTGTTGGTAGCCACTGTTTCCCTCAGACTGGAGATCGTATGCCAAGGCTTGAGGCAGCAGGTGTGACTTGGGTTGGTTGCAGAGTGAGCGCTGGGCTGGGTTGAGGGACACACAGGGCACACAGGACAAGGATGGGTGGGTCAGGTGTTTCTGCCACCTGCTCCTTCCTTATCCCCCCCCCGCCCTCCCCACCCCAGGCCTGGGCATGGAAGGAGAACTTCCTGGAGGTGGGGACCCTGGAGCGCTACACGGTGGAGAGGACCAACTCGGGCAGTGGGGTGCTGTCCACGCTCACCATCAACAATGTCATGGAGGCAGACTTTCAGACGCATTACAATTGCACAGCTTGGAACAGCTTTGGGCCCGGCACAGCCATCATCCAGCTGGAAGAGCGAGGTGACCGTGGCCAGGGTGCGGGGCAGCTGGGGGTTCTGCTCCCTCTTCTCTCCCCTGGCAGTCCTTATGGGGAGATAACTCTCTCGGGGGCCTACCCTCCAGAGCCTGCGCTGGTGCTCAGCTGGGGAAAACCACCCCCTTTTTTAAACGTTCATTGAGCCTCCCCTCTGCGCCCGGCCCCGCGCGAGGGGCAGCAGGGATGGCGGTGCACAAGACGCGGTCCCGGCCCTTGAGGGGGTTTTGGGTCAGTGGAGGAGCACACAGAGTGGGAGCAAAGGACTTCAGGTGGAGAAAATCAGATGCTTCATGAAAGGGTGTACTACTACCGACCTCACGGGGTTGGCGTGGGGATGAAGTGAGAATATCTATAAAACACCAGGCTTGTGGTGCCCCACCTCTTCGAGAATCCTTCATCTGCTAGGAGGCACATGCTTCCTCCCTTAAGACACTGCATGTCGAAGGAGGCACTGCCTTTGACTTTTTTGGAAGCTCTGACGAGGGAGAGAAAGGCAGGGGCTCCCGTCAGGTGTGTCTTAGCTGAGAGAGCCAGCGAGGGGGTGGTGGGGAAGAACAGAGCGGAGGGAGTACGGCAGGACCCAGCGAGGAGGGGAAGAACCTCCCGAGGATCTGATCCGTCCAGGACTGCCAGGAAGGGACAAGAAGCTGGAGGAGGTTCCCTGGGTCCTACTCAGCTCTGGGGAGCAAGGGAGCCAAGGAGAACTGTGCGAGCCCTGGGAGGGCCGGTGCCGGTGCCTCCCTGGCCGTGGGGTGGGGGCAGGGAGGTGGTGAGAGGTGGGGACACGGGTGACAGGTCGGAGTTTGTGGAGACAGCTGACCTCAAAGGGCAGCCCAGCCCAGGAAGCCGAGGCCAAGCCTCGCAGGCAGGTGGGCTGCAGAGGGGAGGATGGGCCCCCAGGGACAGGGTCACGCTGTGTCACAGCTGCAGGGACAGGGCATGGCCATGCTCCCAACCCTGATCAAGCCGAAGCTCAGGCCTAAACCCAGACACAATGCAGACCTTCCCCTCCAACTGCCCCTGACTTGAGCAAACACCGTTCCCGCCCGCGGATATCAGTGGAGCTCTGGCACCTGGCCTTCAGGTCCCCGTGAGCCACCAGCCTCACCCCAGCCTCTCCTTCCCTCTGAAGAGGTGCTGCCCGTGGGCATCATTGCCGGGGCCACCATCGGTTCGGGCGTCCTGCTCACATTCTTCTTCATCGCCTTGGTGTTCTTCCTCTACCGCCGCCGCAAAGGCAGTGAGTACGGGCCTCCCCCCCGCGCGCGCACACACATACAGCGCCCCCCCCACAGGGCGCCCCCCACCCCCCAGCAGACGGACCGCCGCTCCCAGGGCTGGCCTGTAGCGGCTGGCAGAGCGCGTCCAGGCTGCCCTTCCCTGGCCAGGTCGCAAGGACGTGACCCTGAGGAAGCTGGACATCAAGGTGGAGACTGTGAACCGCGAGCCACTTACAATGCATTCAGACCGGGAGGATGATACAGCCAGCGTGTCCACTGCAACTCGGGTCATGAAGGCCATCTACTCGGTGAGGGTCCTGTTCCTCCTGGCCCACTCCCCTCTTCACGTTCTTGGGACCCGCCCCAGCTCTACGAACCACCTTCTCTCTGTCTTCCCTGCCACACTCACGCCCAGGCTCACACGTGCTCACGTGCGTACACACAGGCGCACAAATGCTCCTGCATGTACTCACATGCACGCACGCACACATCCTCCCCAGGCTGATTCCCCTACAGCAGAAGACAGGCAGGTGGGGCCCGCCATAGGCCCGCGCTTGGCCCCATCCTTCCCCCCCCCCACACACAGTCAGACTTGGAAGCCCCTATAAGTTTTCTGGTCCAACTGCCCCATAGCTCAGACAAGGAGGCAGTCCCAGAGAGGGGCAGTGACACACCCAAGGTCACATTGTGCGTCCACGACAAACTCGGTGCCAGGCCGGCTCTCCGGCCTCTCCCCACCCCCGGCGCCCCGGAGCCTCTGGGCTCAGACTCAGAACTCCAGTGTGCCGGGGGGGGGGGCGGGCCCAGACCCCTCCGGCGGCCCCAGGGCGTGGGGCGGGGCCGGCGCAGGATGAGGCCGGCAGGCCCTGACGCCCACCCTGCGGCTCCGCAGTCCTTCAAGGACGACGTGGACCTGAAGCAGGACCTGCGCTGCGACGCCATGGACACGCGGGAGGAGTACGAGATGAAGGTGCGCGCGCGGGCGGGCGAGGGCAGGCCGGGGAAGGGGGACGCGGGCTGCCAGCGGGACCCGGCAGGTGCACCACGGCCGCGCCTCCACCGCGCCCTTGCCCCTCGTCCGCAGGACCCCACCAACGGCTACTACAACGTGCGCGCCCACGAGGACCGGCCGGCATCGCGGGCCGTGCTCTACGCGGACTACCGCGCCCCCGGGCCCGCGCGCTTCGACGGGCGCCCGGCCTCGCGCCTCTCGCACTCGAGCGGCTACGCGCAGCTCAGCTCGTACAGCCGCGCCCCCGCGTCCGACTTCGGCCCCGAGCCCGCCGCCCCCGGGCCCGCAGCCCCCGCCGGCGCCGACTCGGCCGGCACGTTGTCCTATGAGAACTACGACAAGTTCAACCCGCACCCCTTCCCCGCGGCGGCGGGCTACCCCACCTACCGACTGGGCTACCCCCAGGCGCCGCCGTCCGGCCTGGAGCGGACCCCGTTCGAGGCGTACGACCCGATCGGCAAGTACGCCACGGCCACCCGCTTCTCCTACACCTCGCAGCACTCGGACTACGGGCAGCGGTTCCAGCAGCGCATGCAGACTCACGTGTAGGCCTGGAGCCCGGCCGGGGCGCCTCTGCGGGGCAGAGGACGAGGCTCTCACAGCCGTTCCCTGATATTCAGGGGCGTTGCGCGTCGCTCCCGGCCCGGACCAGCCTTCCTCCGCCGCCGCCGCCGCCGCAGCTGCGGCAGGTGGGGAGCAGGTCTCCCGGAAACACCCCGTCCCGAGGATGGTGCTCTGTGCATGCCCCAGCCTCCTGGGCCTGCCCTTCTCTCTTCTTCGGGAGGACGTGTCTCTTCTGACCTGTGCTCTCGCCTGGCCCCAGCACGGGAACAGGGAAGCGAAGGTTGTGGAGAGCAGAGGGGGCACTTTTTAGCATTCCCATTCTGCCCCACCCCTTTGGTCTCCCCTAAGTGGACAGGGATGTGTGACGATGAGCAGGCGTTGGCCTAGGGGGACACGCAGTGGCGGGTGGGGGTGGCCCAGGCACAGGTATGTGGAAACACATTTGCCTGGCCAGCCCCTCTGTCCTCTGCATTCACACCCCGGCAGCATCCTTCCTTCCGCGACTGCAGAAGGGACCTTGGATTGATTTTAGCTGTCCCCAGAACAGCCCTGGCACTGAGTTCAGATCCGGCCCTCGTTCAGCTGGGATTAAAGGGCCAGCTGTCCTGGCTGCTCATCATGGACACCTGTCTGTCAGCAGAGGATCCAGATCCGCCCTTTCTCTCTCCTCTGTGCAGGGCCAGCCGGTTAGATCACGGGGTCCCCATGCAGAAAGGAACGGTGGGGGAACCATGTCCTGACTCACCAGCAGGAAGGCTGTGTGCTTCAAAGCGGTTTCCAGAACCCCCTCTAGAGGAGCCCCTTCCCTCCTCAGCCTGCCCTGTATCCTGGCTTTAACTCGAGCCTGTCTGGGGAGTGGTGGTGTGAGGGCCGGATGCTATAGGCTATTTTTCAAAGACAACAAAAAACAATGAAAACCTCATTTGGGGAGAAAAAAAAAGCTGTAGGGAATCCCCAGCCTCAAGTCCCAGTGGGAAGGAAAGGGGGCACCTGCTCTCCTCCAGATTCCTAGCACCGTCCATTACTCTGAATTTCCAAGCACTTTGAATCCATTTTTAAACATTCAGGTGGTAAGACCTGTCCCCGATGGGCTCTGACAGGCTTAGGGAGGGGGCCTGGCTCTCAAGACTGCTTGTCCTGCCCACCAGCTGGTCGGGGAGGCCACCTTCCGGGGGCGTGGGTGATGGTCTCTGCAGACAGGTTTTGGTTTGTTAAGTGTCTTTTTTTTCTTGGACCAATCAAATACTTTCTTCCACTTTCAGTGCCTTGAGTGTCCAGCTTTGGTTGGCCGGCCCTGTGTGGGGGGCCACAGGGGATGGGTATTGCAAGCCCCAGACACGCCGTCAGGTGTTGCAGAGTTTCGGGGACGGCGGGGGAGGGGCCTGGAGGGGGAGGAGGGTGGCACGGAAGGGCACTGCAGGCAGCACGCCCATGCTGTCCCCACACACACATTCCACATGGCCATTCTCAGCCGCCGCCTCTGACCAAAGAGAACTGTGCCCCCGCCCCAGCCTCCCCTTCTCCCAGAGGGTGGAGTCTCAGGGGCAACCCCCAGAACGCGTTTTGCCCTCTCTCCTGGTCACCACTCATTAGTCATGTTTGCTTTAATGAGTTACATGGTCATCAGCCACGGACCATCACCACCCTTGCGGATGGGTCTGTGGGGTGACACTTCTCACCGTCCCTGCTCGTAAGGACCAGCTAATGCCCAGGGAGAAAGTAGCTCGGTTCCAGCCTGGCAGGCTGCCTCTGCGTCCCCTTCCGCAGCAACAGGGGCAAATCCTGGGTGTCTCTTGGGGGTGGGGGGGCATCGTCCAGGCTCTAGCTGCATTCCACCCCTACCCCTGGGAGCTGACCCCTCCCTACAGAGTCATTTTATGTGAGCCCCTGGAGAAGGTCTGGTAAGGATGCAGGTTCCTGTGCAGGTGAATTCACGCGTACTCTGATTATCTTTGCAGAAACAGAAGCCATGTGTAATCCAAACAGTTAAAGTCTAAAGATGGTGATGGCTCTTTAAACAGGAATATTCCAAAAAATATTCATTTGTATTTGGGGTTTGGCTACATTCTGTTTCTTCCCTTTTATTAGTGCTGGGTCCATTCTGTTGAAATGATGAAGAGGAGGGGCCCAGGGTCACTAGCTAACTCAGTTGACGCTACAGGGACCATTAGTTTTCAGAAGCCTGTGACCAGAGCTCCTTCCTCTGCTCTCTGCTCTTTAACCCAGTAACCGGCCCCTCCTGGGTATGGAGTGTGCACAGTGCAAGGCACAGAGAGACACCAGCGCCCCAGGCCCTCTCTGCCCTCTATTTGCACGCTGTTTGTCTGATCACAGTTGGAACTGGGGCCTGCTTGTTGGGCCATATGGAATTGCTTTTCTGGGGAGTGGAAGGCACCCTTGAACGTAGTAGAGCTTTGCTGTTGGAGGCTGGGGCCCTCCAGCAGGGTGCCGAGAGTACTTGATGTGGTCACCTTGGTGATCCTGATCGCCTTTGATATCCTCATCTTAGTGAGAAGAGCAAGGCACTAGGGGTCAGGAGATCGGGGACCCCACCCTGAAGCTGCCATTGACTGAGTGACCTCGGCCTAACCTCTTTGCATTTACTGCCCCCGATTTTCTGGCCTTAAAAATAGGGGGAGGGCTGCACAACCCTAGAATTATTCTGCTCTTGCTGTATTCATCCGGTGAGGTGGAGGGCCCAGCCACCGCTGGTGAGGAGCTGGGAGCAGGACGTGAGCAGGGAAGGGATGGGGGTGGTAGAAGGTTCTGCTCTCTTGAAAAAAGCTTTCACTGTGGGCCTCTTGCTGGAAGTGTTGCGAATAAGTTTCCGCTAGGTTCCCCTGGATGCCAAACGGCAACAAAGCACACCCTGAGCCTGGGTGAGATTGGCGTGTGCTTATCCTCTGACCGCTGGGAATGGTCGCTCACATTGGGAGCCGGCTCAGAATTCTGCCGGTGTGGCAAAGGCGTCTGTGGCCAGGGCGGGGCAGGGAGGCTCCTCCACTGGTGCCCTGGTTTCGGGCAGCTTTGACCGAGGGGGAACTGGGAGTAGCCACCGTCCATGCTGTTCTCAGGAGCCCAGGGACAGCGCAGCCCTCTCACTGCGGAGGTGAACCTGCCGGCCAGGGTCTCCCGAGCCAGATGGTGAGGTGTGAGCACGGCTGACCCCTCTGTGAAGCAGTAGAGGGAAGTTTTGACGTAGACTCGATCTCGAAAAGGCTCTGGTTTTTGTGGGTGAGCTGCAGCCTCTTCCCTCATGGGGGTGCTCACACTGCATCCTGAATCCTGGATCCCTCTAAGCCCAGCCCCAGAGTCCTCGTGAGGTCAGGAAGGGGAGCCAGCAGGGATGGAGCGGTGCTCCCCCGAACACCGTGCCTGGGGTGGAAAAGGTTGGCTTGACCCCCCCATCTGCAGGCCCATCACTTTGAGGGCAGCATTCCAGGACTGAGCACCCTGCGCCGGCCGTGGAAGCCGAGGCTTCTCTACCACTCCAGTGCTGTGTGTCCCCGGTGGGTCCCCGCTTTGCGCCTCTTGTTAGGGAACCACCTGAAAGGTGTTAGTGAAGGCCCTGACTGGTGGCACCAGTGAGGAGATAGTCGCGGGACACTCCATAGACCGAGGGATGTAATTTGGAAAGGCATCTATTTTTGTGAAGAGGCTATAAAACTAGCATTTAAGTATCCCCCTCCCTTGTCCCTGCCTTCCCCTGCCCTTCAGAATGCGGCGGGGGGGGGGGGGGGTTGGGGGAGGTGCCCATTTTCTTGCATCACTGTGAGGGAGCTCCAGGCCCCGTCCCTGGAGAAAGCATTGCTGTGCAGAAGTCACAGGCCATATGGGCGGCTCTGGTACAAGCCTGCCCTTAAAAATAATAACAGTAATAATAATAATAATAGTAGCTCCATTTGCATAGAACTACCACATTCCCGCCAGCCTCCTGCCCCTGCTCCTGGCTTTTCGTTTTGGCCACAACCACCAGCCTTTCCGAGGGTCGGTGGGCTGTGGGGCCTTCTACCTGTTTCTGGAAATCAGACGCTGCCCCGGGCCCACTGGGGAGAGTGCAGCCGAGCGCTGCCCGGACGCCGGGCTGCACCAAGTCTGCCCGGAGGAGCCCTGGGGCCCCGAAAGTCACGCTCTCCACCCCGACCACCCTTGGGGTCACAGCCTCTACTTCGGGCTCCAGTTGAGTTTTCTCCTCCCAAACCCCAATAATAAATGGATCCATGATGACAAGAGAAGAGAAAAAAATATTATTTTTGTTAGGACAGACCATCGTAGGTTTTTAGCAATGTGTGTCTGTGTGTCCTCACGCCTTTTCCTATTCTTCCTGTTTTCATTTTCCTTTTTTTTTAAATATTATGTACTATATTTTTAGTCTCAAACACACTATATATTATATATATTTAATTTTTTTATATATATAAATATAAATGTTTTAAAAAGCACCATGTTTTGTGTTATTTAAGGCATGAGCAGCTCTCGTTACTTAAAAGCTTGCCTGATTTGGGGTGAAATGGTCAAATTTGGGGAAAAGAGAGATTTTTGGGTTGAGATTGCAGAGAGGATCTATTTGTGTCCTCCAGGCGGTTACTTATATTTGTGGCTGTTGCAGGGCCCTGCGGCCGGGGAAGCCAGCAGCTGTGGGGGGGAGGGGGGCAAACAGCGGGAGGTCACCGCACCCTAAAGTTTGGTGCCAAATCCGATTATGGGGCAGGAAAGGGGGCGACTGACCCCGGGGTCCGGATCCCGAAGGAACTGGGAGAGGGTGGGAGCCAGATGGGTTGCATTTATTAAGATGCAGAGGTTTGGGTCAGCAGTGAAGTTCCCAAACCTGTGGCCTTCTGGTTCAGAGTGAGGAGATGTGAGCAGGTGCTGTGGAGGCCCGCACGGGCCATCCCGCTGAGAAATTTGAAATCCTGGAGTGTAGTGGCTTTCGCAAGGACTTCACTTTGGTCATTTGACAGGAGCGTTTGAGGATCACTGGGGGAAAAACGGCTGTTTTCAGATCATGTTTTTTGAAAGCTATAAATCATCAGAGAGATAAAAGGCTTTATTGTTTGCATCATCCACATAACAGCCACGCAAACCAAAGCTGGTCCACGGTAGCCGTTCTGTGTGCAAGGGACACAGGACACAATCGGAGGCACAGGTAGGGATGGGAGAGCTGAAAAATACTTCAGAGGTAATGCAACCCATTTCCAGGAAGGTTGGAGGTCACAGTCAGAGGCCCCGCTGATGGAGGGGCCGGTGCAGTGGGAGCCGTGGGGAGGCACCGTGTCCAGGACCAGGAGCCTGTCGGTGGCCTGAGGCTAGTCCCATGTGGACGGGAATGAGAGGCTCAGGTGCAGGTAGACCTGGGGCTGCAGCCAGGTAAGCTGAACCGGGGCAGGTAAAACCTGGCATTGATAGTTGGGGGCCAGAAACAAACAGAATAGAGTAAAGAAAAAAAACAGAGGAGAAGAAGCAGGTGTGCAAACATGGAGACCCTGGTGAGTCCGTTAGGCCAAGCCATGTGCGGTGGGTCCGTGTGGGAGGCACCTGCTTCCTCTGTGCATCCCCAAAGCCCAGCACGGGC